TAAAAATAAGGCCAGCGTGAAACTGAGCCATGAAGACCAGCGTCCAGATTAATTTATCATTCACTTCATGTCTGTTTGTGGGATCTTAGCACATTTGTCTACAAGAACACGTCTCTTGTCTACTGGACCTTACAATTACCTGTGAGTTGCTTTTGAGACATTTCAACGTAAGAAGTTATAAAGAGGACTTTGTCTCTTTACTGTGCTATAGATGAGATTTCATAAAGCAGCTAATTTCTCTAATGTCTGCTTTCAATAAGCTTGGATTGATAGCTACAGAAGATGAAATTCTCTTTCTGCCATGTCTTCCAAAATAATTAAATTCTTATTTTGCTGTAGCATTGACCTTTAAGTTTAGGTTGGTTAGAAATTGGACAGGTGGGAGAGGGGGTAAGGAGGGGAAAAAAAGCAGTTTTTCATAAAAGAAACACAAATGAGAGAACTGACATGGTAATGGGTTCGCTAAACATCCGTACTGAATAAACTGCATTGCTAATGAGGGGAGGGGGAATGTTTTTAAAAGGACAAACATGTTACTGGTTATTCTGTTGTTTGCACATAAGACAATAATCGTTGCATTTGATATAGCGCCTTATCACGTCATTGAGACATCTCAAAGCGCTTCACAAGATATTTTGTAAAATGAATTGGCTGTGTATTTATTGGGGGAATCGTGACAGCCAGTTGCTCACATCAATGTTGCACAAAACAGACATGGAGTGAACAGCCAATGTTATTTGGGAGTTTGCTGATCAGGACACTGGGAGAAACTCCCTTCTCTTTTCAAATAGTGCCATGGAATCTTTGACATCAACTGAATAGACAGACGGGACCTCAGTTTAACATCTCACCAGGAGGACGACACCTCCAACAATGTAGCACCACCTCCCAGGACTGCAATGGAGTGTCATCTTAGACTATGCAATTCCAAGTTCCTACATGGGGCTTTTGTCACGGTGACCTTGTTTGAATTGATGCTGTACCTCTTTTATTAAGGTTATTAATGTAAATATTCTGTGTATATCGAGAGAAAGACGCTTTCAGAGCATTTATGGTCTAGGGACCAAAATATAATTTAAAGCGGTAAGGCCGGCCTTGGCGATGCAAAGTCTATGACCTGGGTGAGTTATTGAAACAAAAAAGGTGGAAAAGGATCACGTGGCTCCTAGAGGGGGAGCCTACTGATACATTGAAATAGGAGGAGACTGAAAATGGAGGGGAAACGTATCAATGCGATACATTGGAAAGAGGAGGAGTTAGAAAATATAAAAAAAAGGCATTCGCTGAACTCGGGTTGCTTTTCGCCTTGTGTGTCATCAAGGAGGTACATGCCTGATCTGAAAGCCTCGCCTCCAGGTCAAGGTTGTTTTTTTTTTGGTAACTAATCTTGGGTAAAGCTGCTGGTGTCATAGTTTAGCATCGGGGTATTTTCTATTTCTTAATGTTGCGACAGTTATGTTCTGGGCAACGTAAATTTGGCGTAGATTTAAAGAACCAATAAGATACCTTGAGTTTTCTTTACAGTGCTTCTCGAGTCTCTTTAAAAGATCAAGGAGGGAGGAAACACAAGCAGGTTATAGCTGAAGTCAGGTGTCTGGTAGTGCGAAGGATGCTGATGAATGCATCCCTTTGTTGCGCAATAAAACACTGGGATTATCTGTCGTGTGCATTCTCATTTGTGGAGTTTTACTCAGAGAAGGAATTTGCACGCTAGTAATAATTCTTGTATTTGATACAGTGCCTAATCACGTCTTCTAGATGTATGAAAGCACTTCACAGAATATATTGTAAAGTGAATTGACTGTATGTAGCCAATTGCGCACAGTAGTGTTCCACAAACAGCCGTGGATTAATTGACCAATTTATTATCATTATGTTTTGAGAAGAGATTGTTACCCATGGAAAAACAATCTGCCAATTGACTAATAATTGTTCCTAGGCATCTTGTTTGACCCTCAACTGTCCTTTTTACCCCACACCCATACCATGACCCGCTCTGCCTTTGCCCACCTCCGCAACATCGTCCGGCTCTGGCACAGTCTCACACCAAAGGCTGCCGAAACCCTCATACATTCATTCATAACATCGAGGCTTGACTATGCAAACTCCTTGCTTGTCGGCCTCCCCAACTCCTCCCTCCATAGGCTGCATATCATCCATAACTCTGCAGCCCGTGTCCTCCCCCGCATCAGGCTCCGTGACCCTATTACCTCCATCCTTGCTCAACGCCACTGCCTTCCCATCACAGAGGATACAGTTCAAGATCCTGGTCCTCACCTTCAAAGCCCTCCATGGCTTTGCTCTGCCCTAGCTCTGTGACCTCCTAAACCCATACCAACCTGACCGCTCTCTCTCCACTCAGTGGGCTCCTGCCTGCTTCACGTCCCCCACCTTGCCCCACCATTGACGAGCGGACCTTCTGCCACTCTGCCCCCACTCTCTGAAACTCCATCCCGCAGTCCCTCCGCCTCGCCCCTTCAAAATCCATCTCAAGACCCTCCTCTTTGACTGTGCTTTCGATCACCCTGCTTTCCCCCTTGCCCTCCACCCTCCCCAATCCGACCCCCAGCTTGGGCCCGAAACACTGACTGTCCAGCACCTTGGTTCGTTCTCCTGACGTGAAAGGCGCATACAAATGTAATTTTGTTGTTATCCTACTTACTGTTGGGTAACCAGGCATGTGGAGTAAGGAAAGTTGCAAACGACACAGAGAAAGGACTGATACAGAAGCCACCTAGTACACCAAATGATTTGTCATAATGAGGGGGTACAATTAGGGGTGAAAACTGTCGCAGCTTGAACCCAAAACCTCTAACTCAGATGAAAGATACTATCACTATACCAGCCTGACACAATGGAAATCTATCATGGGTCAATTGCTAATACAGTAATAGCAAACGTTGTTGAGTTAGAATAGAAATTATGTGTAAGAAGGGACTGAATAAGATGACTTTACACATCAACTAGCTTCTGCTGTTTCAGATATTGACCCAATGTACTCTATTTTATTAGCCTTTGATGCATTTCCAGCTATTTTGTTTTCCATTGTGGATTCCTATTTTTTCCCCCCGATGTCTATGGAACTGATGAAACTTAGTTTAAACACAGACTTGTACAAGTCAATTCAAGCAGATGTTTTGCTCTCAGTAATATTCATGCTGCGTTTATATTTCACATTGACAGAAAATTACCACAATTTGCCCACCAGGAAAGAACCTGAATTTTTGTAGCATCTGCAATCATTGAAACATCACTTGACAGTAATTACTGTCAATGCGACTGTCTAGGCAAAAATAGCCTCCATTTTGCATGCAGAAAAGTCTCATAAGACAGCCAGGAGGTGCATGAGCAATTTATCTGTATGATTGTTGAGCAGGGCACCGATAGAAACCTCCTTCTCTTTTCAAATGGGTTATAGGATCTTTAACATCCACCTGAATAGGCAGACAGGATATCTGCTTAACATCTCATCCAAAAGTTAGCATCTCAGACAATGCAGCCTCCTCCCCCCCCAGTACAGCATTGGAATGCCAATCTACAATCCAAAGTTCAAGTCAGGACACGAGTCTTGATCACAAACTTATTTTGCACAGGCTGGAATGCTAAAAAATGAGTCAAGACAACACTTAAAACTTAAAACGTACAGTACAAATGTGGTGGATGGGGGGGAAGAAGACAAAAAGGATATAAGAAAGAGAATCATGCAGGAACCCCACTCCAAACAGTACCTGGGAGGAGATTGTTCCAATAGGAATCCAGCTTCCCATTCCGCAACACTGCTTTAGTTCTGTTAGTAATAATTTTTGCATTTGATATAGCACCTCATCATGCCATTGAGACCTCTCAAAACGAATCACTGAATATATTGAAAAGTGGATTGATTTTTGTGGGTAAAATGCAGCAGCCAATTGTGCACCGCAGTGTCCCACAAACAACAACAACAAAATTACATTTGTATAGCGCCTTTCACGTCCCCAGGTGCTGAAACAGTCATGGATTGAGTCACTTTTTTCAAATAGTTTGTATCAAATTACAGCAGCTCGTCTTACTTCATGCTTCTGCTAAGATCCTTTACACAAATAAAACTTGCTTTAAAAAAATGAAGTGAGAGATTTCTTGTGAGGTTATCAAGAGTTAGCCATCTGCAGCTGTATCACTCGAGTCCCTCCGTATTAAAAACGCTTATCCAGAACTAATGGTTTATTTAATTAATAACTGGGGTAAGAACAGTTATGGTTAGAAGCAGATTGTTTTTTCCAATTCTCTGCAGGTGAGGGCATTTTTTTTAGTTCTACTGGCACTCAGTACAGTGTTAGAATAGCACAGTTTAAAGTGAAGCTTTGATCAGCATCTCAAGGAGAAAAAACAACAGGTGAATGTTATAATAATAATCCTTGCATTTGATATAGAGCCTTATCACATCTTCGAGATGCCGGAAAGCACTTCACAGAATATACTGTAAAGTGAACTGAGTGTATATTTTGTGGGCGGACTGTTATGGCATGAGTTACCATTAGAACTAAACAATGGCATTTACAGGAATTAAAGAAAATAACCAGGACAAGGCCAGCACGATAATAGTTTTCTTTTTTCAAAGTTCAGCTTCTAAGCCAAGTGCATGCAACTTAATATCAGCAACAGGTGCGACTGGCAGCTTGTCTCACTGCACACTTTCAGCACAATTCTTTACATAACAGCAGAATTTTTAATGCGGGTGTAAGTTTTTTGAAAAAAAGCAATTATGAAGCAAAAAGATTTCTTGACTCCAAGATTTATCCATCTATAGCTGTACTACTTCAGTCCATTAGTGTTCAAAATATTTGTCCGGAACTAACAAGCCACAAAAACACGTAAAGACAACTTCTATCCTCTCGCCAATCTTAGTTCTCCTGTTCACAACAAACTCCAGCAGTTAGTCAAGATTTTAGGCCCTAGGTTTCCCACACAACACAGTCAATACAGTGACATTCAGTAACTGTAATCTGAGAGGCTGCACTTACTTAAATGAAACATATTTGGAGTCTTTCTTACTGGGAAGTCTCACAGGCTTAATGTCCTCCCCAGAAACACAGCTCTGACTTTGCTGCTGTTCAGTCATTAGGACCTTCTCCTGAATATTGCTCTGCTCACAGTGAACTGGTTTGCTGCAAGGCTCCTCCACTCCTCGACACTCTCCCTTTTCCTTATTCAGTAAGCTCCAGCTAGCAATGACGAGAGGAACGGGAGGGGGGGGGTGCGCAAAAAAGAAAAGCCCAGCTCTTTGTTTGAGTCAGAGATGAACAGATTTCAGCTAGTATTGGGCCGAATCCAAGAAAAGTGAAAACAGCCAACCTATTTAACTGGAAGGAGGAAGGGTTAAAAAAAACTTCTCACCGCACTTTTATGAGCGCATAATTGGATCAAACAGCTGCGTTCAATTTATTTTCCAGACAGTGTTGCTGGAAAGTTTTGTTTCAAGTTTGCTTGAAGAACCACCTATTTTGTGGAGGGAGAACTGGTGAAAACTGCAGAGGGGGAAAAAAACACTTCCCTCAGTGAAGTGAAGTATTGTGCTCCAACCCCCATTCCTGAAGACTCATCCAATTGTAAGCAGAAGCCAGCTCCCCACAGCAGGGATAATTTAAATACAAGCACAGACAGCTCGCAGATGTCCTGTAGCTGCAGAACATTGCGACAGGGACTCTTAAATTACCCACACAGGTTGCCACCTGACCAAATGCCTCCACTACATCTCGTGACCATAGGTGATTTGATCGCACAGTTCAGGTCAATATTGAAAAAGTAATGTGATTGGGGAGCATTGGTTCAACCCAATTACAACAACAAGCTTACATTTGTATAGCGCCTTTCATGTTGGGAGGACGTTCCAAGGCTCTGGACAGAGTACAGCATTTCACACCGCAGCTGGGGTCAGGGGGGAGAAGGGAGGGGAGAGGAAAGGGGGTGGCCGATGGCATGGTCAAAGAGGAGGGTCTTGAGGTGGGACTTGAAGGAGGCTAAGGAGGGGGAGAGGTGGAGTGACTGGGGGATGAAATTCTAGATGTTGGGGGCAGAGTGGCTGAAGGCTCTACCGCCAATGGTGGAGCGGGTGGGTTGGGGGACGTGGAGCAGGCCAGAGCCGGCTGAGAGGAGGGTGGGTTGGTAGGGGGTTAGGAGGTCGCAGAGGTAGGGTGGGGCGAGGCCATGGAGGGCTTGTATGTGAGGACCAGGATCTTGAACTGGATCCTCTGAAGGATAGGGAGCCAATGGAGTCGGGCGAGAGTGGGGGAGATGGGGTCACGGAGTTTGGTGCGGGAGAAGACATAGGCTGCAGAGTTCTGGATTATCTGCAGCCTGTGGAGGGAGGAGTTGGGAAGGCCGACAAGCAGGGTATTTGCATAGTCGAGCCTGGAGGTGATGAAGGCATGAACAAGAGCTTCAGTGGCCTGAGGGGTGAGGAAGTGGCGGAGTTGGGCGATGTTACGGAGGTGAGGGAAGGCAGAGCGGGTCATGGCTTGGATGTGGGGAAGAAAAGACAGTTGAGGGTTGAACAAGACACCGAGGTTCCTGACTGGCTGGTGAGTTGTAGTGCGCAACCATGGAGGTTGATGCTGCCAGAGCCTGAGGTGCTGAGGCGCTGGCGCGAGCCAATCAGGAGGGCCTCAGTCTTGTTCACATTCAACTGTAGGAAATTTGCCCTCATCCAGGACTTGATGTCTGACAGGCAGTCTGTCAGGACAGCAGTGGCCTGGAGTTGAGGGTGGAAGCAGAAACATAGAGTTGGGTGTCATCTGCATACATTTGGAAGAGGGGCCAGAAGGTGGAGCTGGGAGATGAGGAGAGAGGTGGGGATGGGATCGAGGGAGCAGGTGGTGGGTTTGAGTTTGCGGACAGTCGTGGTGAAGGAGGAGGGAGAGATAGGGTCGAAGGAGTTTAGGGGGAATGGGTGGAGGGTGGGTCATGAGGGAGAGGTGATGTGGGGGTGGCTGTGGACGGGGCTGAGATGGCTGAACGTATCCCCTCGATTTTAGATTCGAGGAAGTCCAGCATCTCCTCACAGTTGGAGTTTGAGGAGAGGATGGGCGAGGTATGGGAAGGTGGACAGAGGAGACGGTTTGTGGTGGAAAAAAGAAGCCGGGGGTTGTCCTTTGCCTCCAAGATAACCTTGGAGTAGAAGGAGGATTTGGCAGAGGCAAGAGCGCAGCGGTAGATCTTGGTGTGGTGAAGCCAAATCTGCCGATGGACAGTTAGTTTGGATTTGGTCCAGGTGCGTTCGGCAGCTCGCACTTGTGCCTTGAGGGAAAGGAGATGGCTGGTGTGGAGTCCTGTAGCTCAATGGTTAGAGCACTCGCTTTGCAAGCGAGAGACCTGAGTTCAATTCCAGGCAGGTCAGGGCGAAACCTTGGGCAAGTTTCCTTACTCCACACGCCTAATAATAATCCCTCCAAAAAAAAACAATAATAAATTGGTCATTTTCAATCCATGACTGTTTGTGGGACATTATTGTGTGCAATTGGCTGCCGCGTTCGCCCACAAATATACAGTCAATTAACTTTACAGTATATTCTGTGAAGCGCTTTGAGACGTCGAGAAGACGTGAAAAGTGCTATATTAAATGCAAGGATTATTATTATTATTACCAGGGGGATTTACGGGAGTATGAGGCAATTCGGGAGGTGAGGGGGGCAAGGGAGTCCAGAATGGAGGAGAGGGAGTTGTGGAGAAAGAAGAGTGAGGAGGGGAGATCGGTCAGTGAGGGCCAGAGGTGTAGGAGTTCAGATGACTCCAGGGCAGTGGAGAGGGAGAGGGAGGAAATATTTTTCCAAGGACAGTATGTGATGGTGGAGGGTTGGGAAAGGGGGAGGGGTACTGAGGTGTTGAGGGAGATGATGTGGTGGTCCGAGATGGCTTTATCGACGATGGTGATGTCCGAGACGGTGAGGCCCCGGGTGATCACCAGGACAAGGGGATGGCCACGAACGTGGGTGGGGGGGTGGATGAGGAGGGAGAGGTTAAGGAAAGAGAGGAGGGAGGAGAAGTCGGCAGAGATGGGACAAAAGGGGGTGAAGTTGCTTAAGGTTAGGAGGCGTTCAGAACAGAGGAAGAGGGAAGATAGGAGGGTGATGTCCAAGAGGAAGGTGGGGGAAGGCTTGGGGGGGACAGTAAACAAGGAGGATTTTGAGAGAAAGCCTGGAGGGGTGGTGTAGGGTAAGGTGTTCAAAGGAGGGGAAGGTTCCGGAGGAGTAAGGGGAAATGCCAAAGGGGGACCGGGAGATGAGAGCCACACCACGGCCATGGCGATTAGGCCTTGGGGTTTGGTGAAAGATGTAACCTGGAGGTGTGGCCTCAACTAGTGGGAAGGTGTCGCCTGGGGTGACCCAGGTTTCGGTGAGGGCGAGGATGTCGATATTTTCCTCGACGGTGAGGTCATGGATTGTGAGGGACTTGTTGATTAATGAGCGGACATTCTGCAGACCGATGCGGAGTCAGGGCAGGCGGAGGGAGAGGAGGGTTGAGCGGGAGTAGTGGAGGGAAGGAGACAGGGGTCGGGAACATCTTGGGGAAACAGCTCGGGTCAATCGCGGCAGCCAAGGTGCGCACGCTAAGACTCGGAGAGGACAGGAGTGTTCAGAGAGCCGTGGTTTGCCCACTGGGCTGGTGAGGCTCAGTGAGGAGATGGGAGCAGCTGACATGGATAATGCCTCAATCACCAACCATGGCATTGCAAACTCACAACTAGCAGAAATAAGTTCTCTCTCTGTTATTTATTAAACCCCTCACAACTTTAGAAACCGTGCGACCGCAAATATACAGTCACTGCACTTTACAGTATATTCTGCGAAGGGCTTTGAGACAGCCTCAAATTAATCTTATTAATAAAGAATAATCATGGAATTTGATTTTGAGACTGATCCAAATTTCGAACAGCCCGGTTTAAGCATTCCGGGACACTACATCACGTGAAGAGTTCTATATAAATGCAAGTTGTTGTTGTTGTCTGTGCAAAGAAAGAAAATCCTTGATTTAACTGTCTGATGGCATGTTTAGCCTGTGCCTCCGGAGGCAGTGAGATTTTGGCTAAAGTCTGTTCCACGTTGGTTTCTATTAAAGTTAAAAGTAACGTTTAAGTGGAAGCATTAGATTCAATTAAAATCTTTTATTTATAGGCTTTTGGCTGTATACAGATTTTGTGATTCAATCTGCTCCAGTCCTTTTAAGATTTGATGCCTTAGAATGAGCATTAGAACCATGCAAAACTTACAGCACAGAAGTAGGCCATTTGGCTCATCATACCTGTATTGGTTTAGTCCCATTCTACTGTCTTTTCTTATATCCTTCTATATTTCTCCATTTCAGATATTTACCCAATTGACTCTTAAAAGCTGACATGGATAATGCCTCAATCACCAACCATGGCATTGCCAACTCACAACTAGCAGAAACAATTTCTCTCTCTGTTATTTATTAAACTCCTCACAACTTTAAAAACCATGAGACCGCAAAAATACAGTCACTGGACTTTACAGCATATTCTGTGAAGCGCTTTGAGACAGCCTCAAATGTAATTATTATTATTATGATTAACGTGTTCTCACCTTTCTCCGTTCTAGGAAAAAATAACAACAAATTACATTTGTATTGCGCCTTTCATATCAGGAGGACAACCCAAGGCACCAGACAGTCAGAAATTTGCACATGAGCTGGTGATTCGAATTCAAGATCCTCATCCTCACCTACAAGGCCATTCACGGCCTTGCTCCCTCCTACCTCTCTGACCTACTATCCCCCTACTTACCTGCCCGTACCCTCCGTTCCTCTGGCTCCGGTCTGCTCCACATCCCCCGCCCCAACCGCCATACCATCGGTGGCCGGGCCTTCAGCCTCTCAGCCCCGAGGCTCTGGAACTCTATCCCCCAGTGCCTTCGCCGCCTCCTCCCTTTCCTCCTTCAAAGCCGGTCTCAAGACCTTTCTCTTTGACCGAGCCTTCAGCTCCCCTCTCGACTCTCTACCCCCTCCTTGCTCCCTCCCTTCCCTCCCCTCACCCTGACCATTTCCCCCCTGCTCGGGTCCTGACCCAACTGTACAGTGCCTTGGGACGTCCTCCCGACGTGAAAGGCACTGTATAAATGGAATCTTGTTGTTGTTGTTGTTTATTGGGATCAGGGGTGGAGGATGGGGTTGGTGGGGAGGGTAGGGGTAGGAGGGTGACCAAGATCCTCGCGTGAAGGGCTC